TCGTGGGTTTTCTCTGGGTCCTCCGGTTTCCTAGCACTGCTAAAGACCCCTACGCGCCAGTGAATTATTGAAATAAAATGGAACCATGTCTTAGTCCCGAAATGACCCTAGTTTGTGTCAAGTGGACCTTAAACCCATCTCTCTCTCTCTCTCTCTCTCTCTCTCACTCTCTCTCTCTCTCATTTCGTTTTGTAAATGTAGACTTAAAAGAAAAAAAATCTTTTTTTGATAAGATGATTATTTTATGTTGTGAATTTGTCTGTCTAGAATCTCCCGTTATTTCTTTCAATTCGTTTTCCACGATCTTGCAATGATTAAGCACAACTTGCTTTTGCTGTTTTTTTAAGATAATTAATTTAAACGTGTGACTCCGATGCTTTGTCCACCTTGATTTTTAATCAATAAATGGATGCTGTCAGTATTAATTTGTTGGTTGTACCAACATTTGTTACATGAAAATGTTATGGGTTTTCAAACATTTGATGTTTGGAGAACAATAATACAAATATGTGTTTAAAGGGTTATGACACAAAGTGTGATGTTTTTAGAGTGACAGGGCCATGGTGGCCTGGAGGTCGGGTGTTCGATGCCTGCATTGGCCGTGAAAGTTCATCAGATTTTCCGGCGTGTTTCCCCTTGTCAGTGATGCAGGACGGAGGGCCTGACAAGGACAGCTATCTAGTCATTCGGATGGCACAAAAACGAGGTCCTTGGCAGTTGGAATTCGATATAAGAGAAGGCCGTAGCGCTGCTGCCTCGGCAAAATTTCCCTCGGAGTAGAAAAGTAGGACGTTAAACCCAATTTCATTTTAAGAGTGACACAAAGATACAATGGTTTAAGAGTTATATGTGTGTCTCAAAACAGGAGTATTGAATAATACTATAGGAAGTGACGCCATGCCACTACCTCCCCTGTAGATTGTACATCTCATCATTCTCCTGTATGAAGCCTAGTAATAAACACCTGATCTCATCATTTTAACAGATGGGTCTCCATAATCTTACTGTGGTTCCCCCTTGTCAGTGATGCAGGACGGGAGGGCCTGACAAGGACAGCTGTCTAGTCCTTCGGATGAGACGAAAAACTGAGGCCCCGTGTATATATTGAAATGCACATAAAAGATCCCTTGACAGTTGGAATTCAATATAAGAGTAGTCAGTAGTGCCACTCTCTTGGCAAAATTTCCCTCATAGCACACTGTATGGTGTATGCCCGTCTTCATTAGCCCAGTTCGGAACAGAACAACAGGACGTTAAACATCATTTCATTTCTGATGCAAGTTGAATATAGATATACACAAACAGAGTCTATAAATCTACTATAGAGATACATGCTCCTTGCTTTCACTCAATTCTTCAGCTTTGCATTTGAATATTGAAAAACATTCAGGAATGATGTCATCTTGTGTGTTTTTTGTTCATGGTGAAGACGCCAACTCAAGGGTTGGACATTCTACAAAGCACTTTTCATTGCTTGAAGCTATTCCTTTCAGAAAGATCTCTAATGATAATTACTGCTATTTTGAAGGTCGATTTGACAATAATTCCTCCCAGAGGGAATATTGTATATTGTCGTTTGGCCCGTCTTTATTTGGGGGAAATTGTGAGATAATATCCTAGTCTGAGACTATGTGTCTAGATCTTCGGGATTTGAATCAATGTCTTTAGAAAATCAGACAAAACAGGAGCGGTTCTAATTAAGTCCTGGAAGATGAACGAAATCTCGAGTATACAGATCACAGTATTGAATTATCATAGTTTTATATGGATGAACAAAAAGAAATTGCTTTGAAAAAAGCTGAATAGCTTTTAGCGATGTTGGTTTGAAAGTTTCGGAGAAGCCGCTCAACAATCATTATCTTCATAAACTTTTCTGACAATGATCTCCTTTACTTCAAAAAGAACTTCGAGTAGTCTGAATATTGAAGGACTTCCTTGAAGAGCTCTGTTCATTGACTCAACTCCCATCATTTTTTACTGGATAATTCAGGCTAGCATTGAGTTAGACTAGGTTGTCACATTTGCTGTTTTTAATATGACACATTTGGATAAAATATGATAGATTTCATTAGACCGCAAAAATGATCCGTGAGGATTTTTTATGGCTTTATTTGAATTGAAGGTTATTTTGAAATAAACTAATTAAATTTCTTCTAGCCTCGACTGTTAAATCTGGCTTCAGTTGTCAAGGTAATAAATGAAAATAGAACAGCCGAAGCTCAGCAAGGGTTTTTCAAGCGGAAGGTTTCGCTTAAAATAAGCCGCTTAGCTTTACTTGTTGTGTTAACATGACTGAGAGTTATTAAGGTGGTGATATTATACAATGTTAGTGCCAGTCATCAAACCCTGGGAGGAATTTTATCCTGTCTGTTTATGGGTTTCAATCGTGTAACCCAATAAAAAATGACTGCACGTAGAACACATTAAATGCTTGCATAGGGAATAAAGCCTGCGAGATCAAAGGAGGTCATAAACATTAGATAGTGCTCTGACATTATGTAGGAAGGTTTTAGACAAATTGCATTGTGTGTGTTTTTTATTCTGTGCATCACGAGGGAACCATACATTGAATGTGTTTATTTGTTTTGTATGGAAATTAATAGAAATGGATCATTTAGTTTTGGAAGTTTGCGATTCCTTTTGTTCGAAACAATAGAGTAGTAAATCAAAAGAAAAAAAGAGCATTAATGATTGTATGAGGCAAACATGGCGAGAACTGTAAGGTGAAGTACAATTCAAAACTAAAATCGTCCATTAAAGGGCTCTTCCCGTACAACACCGGGTAAAAAGCTACTTCATCATAGTTTCATAAATACTGAATGGAATTGAATCATTTATGGAGTGAGTGAAATGGAGTTTTATGGCACGTCAGCTCCAACCGGGCTATATGGTGCCAAACACATGGTGATTTTGACGAGACAAATAAAACCAATATCACATAAATATATTTATATACATAAATAAAAACAAGTATCACATACAATAATGTTATTAAAAATAAATACATATAAATATAAGTCCTTTATGTATACAAATAGTTAAAAACAAAAATACAGATGTATATATACAATTAAAATTTGTAATAAAAGTTTAACAATTTTCGATACAGCTCCGGTTGAGCAAATAATTGATGTAGTGACTGGCAAAGGTAATAGTTTGATCTTACATTCTTGAGATGATTGCACTCAATCAAAATGTGTTCAACTGTCAAAATGAAAATGTGAGTTAAAAAAGTATGACCAATGCGAGAGCGACACAAAACAACTTCATCCCTCCTGTTGGTTCTATAGTAGTTTGGTCAGTCTCCTATGAGAGGTTTAATGTGATGAAAGTTTGAGATTCAAATTCCACAATATTCTAGTCAATTTGATTAAAACAGATCCTATAGTTCAAAATTTCGTCTTCACAACATTAGGATCTGGAAGAGTTGTTATATAACACACATTCTAGTTGATGTGAAGAAATAGCCAATGAAATGATCTGTAATGGCGAGTTATTGGCATACTGTGCACGGAACTGAGGGTAAACCCCTAGAAACATCAACACTGATTGATTAATCAATGTCTGATGTCATAGGGTCAAAAGCCGCTCGTATGACAGCTGATGTGACTTCCCATTACATCTTGTCAGAACGAAAGTATAAAAAAAATGAAACAAAATATAGATCTGAATTTTAATCAGATTGTATTGTAGTTTACAAGAATTCAAAATCCTTCAAATGACGGACAGTGACTTTAAGGATCTATTGATGTTCAAGCTTATATCGATCTTATATCGATCTTATACATGACAAGGAGTAGGGGTCGCCAGTCCGACCTCGTGGGTTTCCTCTGTGTCCTTCAATTTCCTCTCACCGCTAAAGACCTATATGTACAAGCAAATTATTAAAATAAAATTGAACCATATGTTAGTCCCAAAATAACCTAGTTCGTGTCGAGTGGACGTTAAATCCCATCTCTATTTATCTCTGTCAAGAAACCAGTATATGAAAAAACAAAAACACTAACTAACCATCTCCCTCTCTCTCTCTCTCTCTCTCTCTGGTTTCGAATCCCCGGTTGTACGTGACTAGGATTAGGGTGGCCTGTCCAACCTCGTGGGTTTTCTCTAGGTCCTCCGGTTTCCTCTCACTGCTAAAGACCCATATGCGCAAGCAAATTATTAAAATGAAATTGAACCATCTGTTAGTCCCGAAATGACCTAGTTTGTGTCGAGTGGACTTAAAACCCATCTCTCTCTTTCTCTCTCTCCCTCTCTCTCTCTCTCTGTCTCTGGTTTTGAATCCCCGGTTGTACATGACAAGGATTAGGGTGGCCTGTCCAACCTCGTGGGTTTTCTCCGGGTCCTCCGGTTTCCTCCCACTGCTAAAGACCCCTACGCGCAAGCGAATTATTGAAATAAAATTAAAAACCATATGTTAGTCCTGAAATGACCTAGTTTGTGTTGAGTGGATGTTAAACGACTTCTCTCTCTCTCTCTCTCTCTCTCTCTCTCAAAGTACTTGGTTTTTGTTTCAAATTTTGTAGTTTTAGAATTTTAAACAAAATACGAGTTCGAGTGTCTATTTATTTATCTATACCGTGAAGAACTAGAAATTAAATTATTTTGGTCTGATTACATCTTTCAGACTTGAGAAACCTTATATGTATCTCCATGTGTTGACTGGCTAAGTGGGTAAAGCGCTGGCTCGCTAGCCTGGAGGTCGGGTGTTCGATCCCTGCATTGGCCGAGAAAGTTCATCAGGATTTTCCGATGTGGTTTCCCCTCGTCAATGGTGCAGGACGGAGGGCCTGACAAGGACAGCTGTCTAGTCGCTCTGATGGGATGAAAATGACTACAGAATTGTGACCTGTATATTCCAGTTCAGTTACTAAATGCCAATGAAACAATTTGAAAATAATAGTTTTGCTTTGAATTGTATGTCAATTGAATCATTTCTAGCATGAAATCCAGTTTTATTTCTACATCATGATTAATATTACAATTTAAATATTTTCCAGGCTCTACTACAGACCCACGATGTGGTTGGTCATGAGATTTATGGGGAAGATGCTGTTCGTATTACGCCCCCTCCAAGTCAGACATTTTTAAACGGAGAAACAGAGACCAACGGCCATAGTTACGAAATGGAGACGGGGGATAATATTACCAGAGTTAGACTGGTACAGTTCATGAAAAATACAGATGAACCAATGGTAAGACATTTTATATAAAATTATTATAAATCACCGCCTTTCTAATGTCGATGTTGATTCGTTCACAAGCTATGAACTTTGTCATGATAAGAGCACCATTCTCAGAATTTGCGCTGTATTATAAGTAATCCAGAATGGAACACTTACATTTGACCCGTTTACAATACTCAAAATTTAATCATTCCATTCTCGGAACCGTTTCAGACACCTAACCTTTGTATATAAATCTAATGTATTGTATGTATTTTTAATAAAACTAAGAAATATCACGAACTAACTTTTCATCATCCTAGGTCAGTGCTTATGTGGAGACTTAACCTCTCCCCCAAATTCTTAAACCTAACCCAGGCACACAGAGGACCAGGCTCCCGGTTACCTATTTAGGGTGCCAGTCTCCGGGTTACCTATTTAGGGTATTTTCCGGTATTTAGTGTGTTTTCCGGTATTTAGTGTTTTTCCGGTGTTTTCCGGTATTCATTATAAAATGGTGTTTTCCGGTGTTCCGGTTGTTTTCCGGTGTTTTCCGGTATATAGTATTGCCGTTACAGTAGCAGTATGAACAGGATTATAAAGATTAAAGTATGAAACACCAATCATTGGGGAGGGAAGGGGGGGTCGATAGCCGAGTAGTCTAATGTGTGTGCTTTAGGTCATAAGGTCTGTTTTGATTCAAGTGGTATGTGGTTTTGATTCCAGTTTGTATGTGACAAGGAATATGGTCACCTGTTGCCTGTTGCCTGGGTTTCCTCCGGGCCCTCCCGTTTCTTCCCACTGCTAAAGACCCCTATGTGCAAGCTGATTATTGAAATAAAATCACACCTTATGTTAGTCCCAAAATGACCCAGTTTGTGTCGCGTAGACCTTAAACTTCATTTCTCTCTGTCAAATCTGAAAGTTGTTATAGAGATTTACATACTAAACACAAAATCTGTTAGTTGTTTACAGGACACTATAGTCAGAAACCTGTTTCACTTGAATGAATCACCATTAATTGAGTAAAAACATCCATGCTTTAAAGTATCTAAGTCTCTAAATCAATATCATACAAAGTCTTTGACATTGAAAACACAAATTATTTTTCAATTTAAATCAACATTGACATTGTGATCTTACCGCGAAAAGATGGGCTTCTAAAATCCAATATTCAAGACAAAATAAACATTTTACCATCGTGTACCATAATGCGTTTCAGTGCCATTTGTAACAAAGGACTTGAAGGACGAGGCTAGACATATTCCATGAATCATGTCAAACGATGGCGCCATATTGTTATCTGGAGAGCATGTGCAATAAATACTACCGGTGTAGACGCTAGAGATTGCCATTCGATTGAGACTTCTCACGTATTTCGCCGAACATAACTGATTTGATATTAGAGAAAAAATGAAAACGATTGAATGTAAATCAGTTTATATACATTCATATTACATTATTATATGCGTTGTGACCCATTGGTGTGAATTTCTAGGTCCCAAATATTAGCGATTTAGCTCCTTTAAGTCCATACTAAGCAGGAATACCTGAACACCTACACAAAATTTACTTTTGGTTCCACATTTTTGAGTTTAGAAATTTTCGATCCAGGGGTTGGCTCAGAGAGTTACCTAAGATTTTCCAGCCTGTTTTGTCAATGGTGGAGGAGTGGATATCGAGTAGTAACCGTGTATAGTCAATCCGATGGGACAAAAAACAAGATCCCATGCATGTGAACTTTGATTTGACAATTGAAATTTAATGAAGCATAGACAAAATTTCCCTGTTTCATAAATGTTTTATATATTTTTTTTTTTAGGGAATTACGTTAAAGGTTAATGATGAGGGTCGATGTTTTGTGGCCAGAATTATGCACGGTGGAATGATCCATAGACAAGGTAGGTGAAATGTATAATAAAATGCATTCGTCATTAACAGTAGTTTATGTGTGGTTTAATGGGCCTCTTATTGTTTCAATATATTACACAATGTCTTAACACCATTAAACAACTTAAAATACAGACACTATCCTGCACATGCTTTTCAATGAAATACATCATGCTTGTCCAAAATTTCAACTAGTATAAATAATGTACGCTTGGCACATTATTTGAAATAATGGTACGCCAACATCAAAGGATGACTGCACATCTGTATTTTAATAATGTTTCAATGACATCTCACTATCATATTTTTCAAACTTTCTCGGAAATGACACAAATGCTTACTTCAAAAGCTGGGAACAATTTGCTGATATCTGCTTTTTTAATGAAACCTGTTTTAAAATGAAGTATGTCAGGGGTGGACAACAATTGATGTTCCATCTGCCAAATATTACGCATACAACTTAAAAGATTAAATTACACAGCATTAATTAAGGCTTAACCTCTGGTTGCAGCGATTCCATTTTGTTCAGTAAGATGGAAGGGAGAATTACAGGAGAAAGTCACACTAGTCTTTTTAAGTATTAGATCATTTATTATCCTGAAGTGCAGTGTGTCACAGAATGATTCAATGTATGCCATTGAATGGCCACCTAGGCTATTGTGAGGCCAAAATACCCATTTATTTATTTATTATTTCCCAAACGGGGGATTGGGTGGCCGAATGGTTAGCACGTGCATGTTGTATCATTAGGTCTGTCATTGAGTCAACTGCTGTGGTTTCGATTCCCTGGTTGTACATGACAAGAAGTAAGGTCCCATGTCCAACCTTGTAGGCTTTCTCAGGGTTCTCCGGTTACCTCCCACTGCTAAAGACCCCAACGTGCAAGTGAGTTATTGACATAAAATTGAACCATGTGTTAGTCCCAAAATGACCTAGTTCGTGTCAAGTAGACGTTAAATCCCATCTCTATTTATCTCTTGTCAAGAAACCAGTATATGAAAAAACAAAAACACTAACCTAGTTTGTGTCGAGTGGATGTTAAACCTCATTTCTCTCTCTCTCCCTATTTCCCAAACATTCTGCACATCTCACCCAAAATCACCTTACCTGATTTTCTTGAAGAACAATGTGGAATAAATGACTGAATTTCTGATTATTTCAGGCACGTTACATGTAGGTGATGAGATCAAGGACATTAATGGAGTTAGTGTGTATAATCAACCTGTAGAAACGCTACAAAAAATGCTGGTAAGACAAGACTAACCCTAACAGTAACCTGGTTAAACAAGACAAAGTTTTAGGTTTGGATATGAGTTTAGAAAGAAATGCATAAATTGCAAACTCGTATAAGCAGCAAAGCATACCTTTTCAAGCACATGACACCCATCAAAGTGAACTAAATTGGCCATATGCATTAGGATTCCAAAATTTGAATATTTCTAAACAGAGGCCTTATTTAGAATTCAGCCTGTTCATTGGTTGAAAGCTAAATTTTATTTAGGGAACGCCGCAAATTTCAACAGTTGCATCCATAACCTGCGGATAGATCTTGCCATCCCTCTCCAATCTGCCCAGCTATTGAAACAGATGGATTTTGATGCAAGTTTAAGACTTAAATAACTGATATTTAATATCCCTGGTGTTGTTACAAGATCTGTAGGTCATCCATTTGGATGCAAGTGTGCAAATTTTGTTACAGTCCCTTATTAGTTTGGGGGGGGTTTGGGTGGCCAATTGGTTAGCACGTGTGCACTGTATCACAAAGTCTATCATTGAGTACAACCGGGTCCTCTGGTTTCCTCCCACTGCTGAAGACCCCTACGCACAAGAAAATTATTGAAATAAAATTAAAAACCATATGTTAGTCCCGAAATGACCTAGTTTGTGTCGAGTGGGTGTTAAACCCCATTTCTATCTCTTATGATTAATTTGTTGAATTAAATGATTTTATAAGTATATACATTGTGTCTGGAGCTTACTGTGTAAAGCACTGCAAATTATTGCTTTAGTAATTACTGTATAATTCATTTTTTTCTGTTCTGTTCATTAGCTGAACTTTCTTTATTTTGTTTTTTGTTGTTGATGTTTTTGTTGTAGATTTTTAGTATTTCAGGTTTTAGATACTTTGTGTTGTTGACTTTATTTGTTTTTAGTTGATTTTAATGTAAATTGTTCTGTGCCATATGAGAGGACATAAAAAATCTGATACGTAATTCATAAAATGATTTAGTAATAGGACATAAAAGATCCCTTGGCGATTGGAATTTGGGGAAGATAAGGCAGAAATGCCACTGTCCATTGATCATATTTGTACATTGAACACATAACAACAGAAATAGAATTGTCCATAATGAAAACTCAAAATGAGAAAATTAAAGATACATTATGGGAGATTAGATAAAGAGCTGGCAGTTCTCACTATAATAGTTAAAAACTAGATAATGTAAAGGGAATTTGCTGAAAATGTCAGACAAATTGATCCACTCTGAACTGAGAATTTAGCGATTGAATTTTGGGCCTAGCCTCGATCATCATTACTAAAGGTGGTACGATATTCGTGATTATCCATCATCAATGAGCGTTGAGCAGCAGATCAGATAGCGATGACATCGAGAGTTGATTATGGTCCGGATAAGTTCATTAATGTCTAATTAATAATTTAGATAACTTTTCAGGCCTAAAGAAAGACCTGCAATAGGCAGATTTAACTCTTGCATAATGTATGTTTAAACAAGGGACAAGTCATTTCCTTTTTGTATTTTTATTTTAACTCGAAGCATTGACAACCATTAAGTATAGTCTATTGTCGTTTCAATGTTGTATATATTTTTGCTTCCTGCTTTCGTTGTAGAAAAATCTACGTGGTCAGGTCACGTTTAAAGTTTCTCCGTCAGTAGCAGGAGCGTTTAAATTGGACAGTAATCCAGCTCATAAAGAGGTAAGAAACTCTCCAAAGAATTTGGTATTTTTCATTTTTTTTTATCGCATGTTTGTTTTAATACTTCCAGAGGGAGTCAAGTGGAAGCATAACTTTGAAGATCGTGCCGAGTTATCGACACAATCCTGCGCTGTGTGAGGTAACAATTAGCAAACAATAATGCATACTCCTTCAGCTGCCCTTTTCCCCCGAGAATGCTTGATATTATTTTTTTGTCTTGTAACTTATTTACTTCCTTAAGTTTCCTAAAAAATAAACCTGTCTGATCCCAGCATTAGCAAAACTTAAAACAAACTCATCTGTTCCCAGCATTAAAACTTAAAACAAACTCCTCTAAAAACTATAAAATTATCCAGTGTTAGCGAAACTTTTATGATTTAATAAGTTATCAATTAATTAAATTATAATATTATGTATATATCTACCAAAGTAACAGTCCAAACAAAATTGGGGGGTCAAGGTGGCTAAGTGGGTAAAATGCTGGCTTGCTAGCTCGGAGGTCGGGTGTTCGATCCCTGCATTGGTTGAGAAAGTTCATCCAGATTTTCCGGCGTGTTACCCCTTGTCAGTGATGCAGGACGGAGGGCCTGACAAGAACAGCTGTCTAGTCATTCAAATGGTACAAAAAACCGAGGTCCCGTGTACCCATTGGCGTGCACGTAAAAGATCCCTTGACAGTTGCAATTCGATATAAGAGAAGGCTGTAGTTCCCTCATAGCACACTTTATGACGGATGCCCAGTTCAGCGCCGAACAGTAGGACATTAAACCCCATTTCATTTATTGCACAGATCGTACTAACCCGCTGGTTGGCTAGTGTGTTGTCTGGTTAGAAATCATGTCAGATCTAATATTTAGAGAAAATTAAACTCTATCAAAGAATTACAGATTATACTGTTGGAATAAACACAACAGTTCTATGAATAAACAATTACTGTATTTAAATGGGAGCTACGTTTCTCTTGTGCTTGAGGGGGGTTGGGTGGCCGAATGGTTAGCACGTGCGTGCTGTATCATAAGGTCTGTTATTGAGTCAACTGGAATGGTTTCGAATCCCCGGTTCTACATGACAAAAAGTAGGGATGCTTGTCCAACCTTGTGGGTTTTCTCCGGGGTCCTCCGGTTTCCTCCCACTGCTAAAGACCCATACGCGCAAATGAATTATTAAAATAAAATAGAACCATGTGTTAGTCCCGAAATGACCTAGTTTGTGTCGAGTAGATGTTAAATCCCATCTCTATTTATCTCTGTCAAGAAACCAGTATATGAAAAAACAAAAACACTAACTAACCTACTATATCAGATACCCTCAGAATACCCTTAATATATAATATAATATTTATTGTTTCACACGAAATTGAGTAAATGAAAAAAACACTAACTAACCTTACTATATCAGATACCCTCAGAATGCCCTAAATATATAATATAATATTGATTGTAATGGAAACCTATACACATGAAAATATCATTTGCTCAGTATCTAAAAACAGAATGTATATATAGGTTTTAATAAACTACGATCTTTGTTCATATGAAGGCAATGTTTTCTTCACTCGCATAGGTGCACAAGCCGGAGGGGGGGGGGGGTGTGCAGGAGGGGAACTGCCCCCTCCTAACTTTCCTGTAACTGACTTCGGGCAAAAGGGTAAAGTGAAAACAAAAATTTATTATTTCATTTAGTTGGCGAAACAAAGTGCCCGAAATCTAATAAAACACAAATTTTACTTTTCTTTTAAATTGAATACCACAAATTTGTACTGAATTGACTATAGATTAAAACATTTTGTCTGGAGTCACTCTGCTTTGTACAACATTTTTTGGACATCGATTATTATTTGTCAAAGCAAATGCAACAGTGAGTCGAACATGAATTAAAAAAGAACGAGAATTCGAATTAACTCTGAATTCAGATAAAATCTGAAAAAAAATTGTAAGGAATTTTCTTAATTGAAAGAAAAAAAAATTCCTGGATATGTTATATTTAATTCAGAAAAATGTCAGTGCATTATCAAAATTGAGTGGTTATCAGACTTTTAATGGCAGAGTTCTGATTCTATCAGGAGTGTTATGTAACGAAGGGGGTGAGGGTTGGGAAATGGTCATAGGTGTGCTCTTTAAATCATACAGTCAGTCATTGACTCAAGTGGTGTGGTTTCTGTAGTAATATGGTCTTTGCAACCATATTATGTCTTTAACTGATTATTAGTTCCATATATTGGAGAGAAGTCATATCTCATGCATTCAAATTGAATAAGTGATAAGTTTATATATAAAAACAGTGATAAGTTGGTAAATATTTAATTCTGGGTTAAAAACAAAATAGCACATCTGACACTCCTAGTGGAAAGTTTCCACTGTCCATATAAGGATGGTTCTCGACGTCATTAGACTTAGTAACCAATCATCATAACTAATTACGTAATATTTGTCCAATTAAATAATTGACAAGGCTGTCTCAAGGACACTGTCAATGTTAAAAGACTGATATAGATACCATAGAGTAGACGAGCATTGATTTCTTGAGGGTGAGATATCATATAGATTTATTGGGAAGATACCATTGAGGTTGAAGATACACCATCTGGATTCAGAATGCCCTGTTAGGTCGTACCAAAGCCATATGATGTAGGCATTCCGTCAGTAAACTTGTTCTGGGAAATGTTGGGGTTGAGAGAGTAGAGAATGACTTTTATTGTAATCTATGCTCGTAACCTATGTATCCAGTGCTTGATATAAAATATTAAAACAAATTGTTGGATTTTTGTTCCTGGTAGACAAAATTGAACCATATGTTAGTCCCGAAATGACATAGTTTGTGTCGAGTGGACGTTAGACCCCATTTCTCTCTCTTTCTCTCTTAAAAATGATGACCATCCGATGCTCTAGAAAGTTGATTGGGCTGAATAAGTGATGTAAGTAATAATTCATATAAAACATTGAGGCCAAAATCGGCAGATTTAGCTCTTACATAATGTATCTTGAAATTAATACATATGTCTTTATAAAAAAAAAGTATAACAGCTGTGACAGGCAAATATGTCATGAGAATACCCCCCACACCTTTTGTAAGTTACAGTAACTGACGTTTGTCCATCAGTGATATCCATTTCCAGGTAGCACGTACGTCATAGAAAAATACTGGCAAACAGTGATTATTTAATGAACAGATTTTGTTTTTTTATTACCCTAATTAGTAAAATTGTTACCTTTGATATTTACAATGTTATTTTTTTTTACTTCATGATGTACACGAGTTGTTGAGACACCATCATACTATTTATATTACGCTATTGACATAAATACACTAATACAGCTGTCTAGTTTCATTTACCTCCAACACACAGGTCTTATTATCAAAGGGAGACAAAAACTTCTTTAAAGCCATGGATTGAGCAGGGTTATAAAAATTTGTTAACAGTGATTTATTTAATATGTTTGTATGAGTAATGCATTTATGTGGATTTCTTTACCGTAAGATTCACACATTATGAATTTGATGTCGAGATCTTTATCTCAAAGGGAGATAAAAACTTATTTAAAGTCACAGATTGAGCAGGGCTATAAAAATTTGTTAAAAGTGATATATTTAATATGTTTGTGTGAGTGTTATACTAAATGTATTTATGGCAAGGTTTAGGGGGCGTTTATGTGGATTTCTGTATGATAAGATTCACGCATTATGAAATGGACGTTGAGATCTTTATCTGAAAGGGCTAATTGGGTAAGATGCTGGCTCGCTAGCCTAGAGGTTGGGTGTTTGATCCCTGCATTGGCTCATTGGGATTTTTAGACATGGTTTCTCTTTGTCAGAGGTGCAGGACAGAAGGCCTGACAAGGGCAGCTGTCTAGTCATTCGGATGGGACAAAAAACCAAGGTTCCGTGTATACATTGGCATACACATAAAAGATCCCTTGGCAGTTGGAATTTGATGTAAGAGTAGACCATAGTGCTGCTGCCCAGGCAAAATTTCCCACATAGCACACTGTATGGTGTATGTCCGCCTTCATTAGCCCAGTCAGAAGAGACCAGTAGGACGTTAAACTCCATTTCATTTCATTTCATTTTATCTGAAAGGGAGAGGGGGGTTGGATGGCTGAATGGTTAGCACACGCACGCTGTATCATATGGTCTGTCATTGAGTCAACTGGCGGGGTTTTGATTCCCCGGTTGTACGTGACAAATTATTGAAATAAAATTGAACCATGTGTTAGTCCAGAAATGACCTAGTTTGTGTCGAGTGGATGTTAAACCCCATTCTCTCTCTCTCTTTGAAAGGGAAATAAATACTTGTTTAAAGTCGATGTTTCAGGAAAGTAAATAGAAAATTATTAACTTTTCCAAATGCCCTCAAACCTTGCCTTGTCTTTAAAGTTAAAGATTTGTAATATCATGCTAATTTAAAATGTTTCTATATTTTCAGATATTTGTACGAGCATTATTTGAATACGACCCACGAGATGATGACCTTATTCCATGTTCGCAGGCAGGAATTCCGTTTAAAGTTGGGGAAATATTACGTGTAGGTTCTTTAGTTTTCCTTTTCAAAAATATAGATAGGAGATAGATGATATAGGTATAGCCCATTCCTTGATTGGTTTCCCCAGTGGTGCAGGACAAAGGGTCTGACAAGGACAACTGTCTAGTCATTCAGATTGGCCAAAAAAATGAGGTCCTGTGTACACATTATTGGTGTGCACGTAAAAGAACACTTAAAATTTGATATAAGAGTAGGCCGTAGCGCAGCTGTTTGGACAAAATTTTCCTCATGGATAGGGGAACTAAACACTATAATCCATGTATCATTTAATCTTGTTAAGAAATAAACAACCTAATTGATTATTGATGTATAATGGTCAGGAAATTAAATACTTGTAAATTGGACACTCATTATCAAAATTAATCAGTCAGCTTTAATCTGGACGCATGTACAAATTAGATGATTTGGGGTGATGTTAAGTGATTTTTACGAATTTTTAAACAAAGATTTGATATTAAATGAATGTGAAAGAACTGAATACACAAGATTAAATGATACCCGGGTTACAGTGACAGTGTCTCGGTAAATTTGGCGCTGACTAACCTGGAAGCATCATGGTGTTGCCCGAGAAAGCTTCAAGGTTTTCCAATCTGGTTTCCTCTTGCCACCTGTGCAGAGCCAAAGGTTCCGTGCCCATTATTGGCAGCATGTTAAATGTCATTTCATTTCATTATGGGAATTTAGAGTCTTACTATCCAGTAGTGTGTAAATGAAATAGATGGGTGTATCATAAGGTCTGTCATTGAGTCATCTGGCATGGTTTTGATTCTCTGGTTGTATGTTACAAGGAGTAGGGTCACCTGTCCAACCTTGTGGGTTTTCTCCGGGTCCTCCGGTTTCCTCCCACTGCTAAAATTGAATCATGTGTTAGTCCCGAAATTACTTGGTCTGTGTCAAGTGGACGTTGAGTCACTGATGAAAACTGCACTATTGTAATAATAATACGTCCAGTTTTGTATATCTTAAAAATTGGCCTGATACTGTTCGATATCACGCACATAAAGAGAAGACTGATGAAGATCAAATTTGTCCATTTTACAGGTTATTAGTAAAGATGATTCTAATTGGTGGCAGGCGAGGAAGTGGGACAGTTTATCTACAGAACCTGCTGGTCTTATTCCATCACCAGAATTACAGGAATGGAGAACGGCGTGTGCTGCCATAGAACGAGCACGAAGAGAACATGCAGGTATGAATCGTCAGTGTCACATATAGATTGTGCACATGATCCTCTAGTGCACAAGATTATGAACTTCTGTATATTTATCCAAATGTTCATCCATAGTGGCACTGAGAGTAAGGTCTCAGGTGTGATCCTGGTTGTAGCTGATAAAGTCCCTAAGGATTTTCTAGCCTGGATCCCCCTAGTCAGTGGTGTAGGATGGAAGCCTGGGAAAACGAAAGCATCTAGTAATTTGGATGGCACAAAAAAACAAGTCCATGTACATACCTTTGGCAGAATGTTAAAAATTACCTTCCCCATTGGTAATAACAAGTAGACTGTAGTGCCGCTTACTTCGTTGGCCCAGATTGTGCAAAAAGGACATTAAACCCCATTTTGGAAGGGATAGCCTACTGAAACAGGCTCTGACTATGCATCCTTTCTTCCTTCCTGGTTTAGGGTTTAGTGGGGGGGTTGGATAGCCGAATGGTTAGCGCGTGGGCACTGTATCACAAGGTCTTTCATTGAGTCATCTGGCGTGGTTTCGATTCCCTGGTTGTATGTGACAAGGAGTAGGGTCGCCAGTTCAACCTTTTGAGTTTTCTCCGGGTCTTCCGGTTTCCTACCACTACTAAAGACCCATACGTGCAAGCGAATTATTGCAATAAAATTGAACCATATGTTATTCCTGAAATGACCTAGTTTGTGTCGAGTGGACATTAAACCCCATTTCTCTCTCTCTCTCTCTCTCTCTCTCTCTCTCTCTCTTTCTCTCTCTCCTGGTTTAGTTTCTGGAGAATTTCTGATAATCCGTTTAAGATATCTGTAATATTGTACACATACCACTCCATTATAATGGTTATACCATTTGCCAATTTGAAATTTCCTGAAAACAAATTTGACTTAGTTTTTAGTTTTTGTATACAGGGGTTCAGGATTTTGATGATTGTATATTATTTTTTTTTTTTCAGTCCATTGTTCGTGGTTTGGTAGAAAGAAGAAAGACAAATACTTGGCCAAACATAATGCAGTCTTTGATCAACTTGATCTTGTTACATATGAGGAAGTTGCTCGATTGCCTGTTTTTATGAGAAAAACTCTGGTTTTACTGGGTAAGTTAAGGACTTTTAAAACACACTTTCCTTGCCATTTGGAATTTAACTAGGTAAACTGAACTTCATTATACCGGGAGCCACAGTGGTGACTCAGTGAGTATGATCCTGGCTCACTAACCAATATGTCCCGGGTACGATCCCTGTGTTGGCCGAGAAAGTTGATCAGAGGCTTCCCCTTGTCGGAGGGAGCCATGGTGGCTAGGTGGTTAAGACGCTGGCTCACTAGCCTGGAAGTTGGGTGTTCAATCCCTGCATTGGCCGAGAAAGTTCATCCTGATTTTCAAATGTGGTTTCCCCTTGTCAGTGGTGCAGAACAGAGGGCCTGACAAGGACAGCTGTCTAGTCCTTGGGATGATACAAAAAAACAAGATCCCGTGTATACATTGGAATGCACGTAAAAGAGTAGGCGATAGTGCCGCTGTCCGGGCAAAATTTCGCTCATAGCACACTGTATGGCGTATGCCCGTCTTCATTAGCCCAGTATAGGAGCAGAACAGTAGGACGTTAGACCCCATTTCATTTCAAAAGAGTATAGCACTGTCTCTTTAACCAGAAGGTCCAGCATCCTATCATGGTTTTAGATAAGAAAGCTCTTCCAGATTTTGTAAGACTTGGGTCCTTAAGACAATATTGGGTCTTTGAAAAATTGTTCTCTCAAAATATCCATCAAACTCTATCTGTTTATTGACCTATGGTTGGTAGACCAAATAAGGTAATGTTCTCTCCCCTAGTCTTGGGAAATGGGGAGGTTTATTCCATATTTGGGATGGAAATCAACCTCAAGGTCAATCTAGGATGTGCAGAAATTAGGGGTTATAAAGGAGGGTGTTGAGCAAGAGCTCACCCAGGTATTCCGAGCAGCTATCATTTATTGAGAATGAGGGATATTCGAAGCCATTCCAGCTTAACAATAAAATGTAGGACCCATTTAACCTGTAGTGTTATATAATACGATCACAAAGAAAACACAACAAGGAAGTCCAATATTTCTACAATTTTCCAGCCTGATTTCCTCTTATTGGTGGTGTAGGACGGAAAGTCTTGCAAGGAAAGTGTCTATTCTTTCAGAGTTCTCCCTAGGTTTCCCAAAATAACTCATCAAATATCATTTATATATGACCATTATCAAGGAAGTTATCGTATGTCTAATTTTCAATTTTATAGGGATTATTTTTTAAATTAAATATACATGTTGTCTTTATTGCAGGTGCTCATGGTGTAGGAAGACGTCATATAAAAAACACTCTTATAACCAGTCAACCAGACCGATTTGCCTACCCCATTCCACGTAAGTCATTTAATTCTCATCACCCAGAAGTGTTAGTTCAAATGATAATTATCATCCACAAAAGAATGGTTACTTACAAAATCTTTAAAACTTAGACAGATGCCTGATGGTCTCTATTTCCTGATAAAAATAAGTCAATTTATGATTGTTCAATGCCATTTATGATTGCCATAAACGTCTATCAGGGTTCTGTACTAGACACTTTCAAATTCAACCTGAATTATTTAATTGAGTTTCATTCCATTAACACACAGGAAATGTGAGTCAGTGCTAATCAGTGAGGATTATTTTTTTTATTTTTGAAAGAAAAAACAACCCTTTTCAAGTGACTCGGCAATATGGTATTTGAGATCCTGGGCCCTGTTTCTCGAAATCTTAACCAAATTTTAGTGGAAACTTCAATTTTGATTGGCTAAGCACTAAAATCAATCTACTATTATCCAATCAAATTACTAAAATTTTGATTTTATCTTAGTTAAAATTTCACGAAACAGGCCCCAGAACTTTAACCCATTAAGCGTGACTTTTTAAAAAAGTTAACTACCCCCTATTGTGTAATTAATTTGACGAAGTGACGAAGAACTATGTACTATTCTAAGAATAGGTTAGGGAAAATACCTCCAAGGCGTTATATGACACCCTACACGCAGTGAGTGGCAGTTGTCCAGGACGTTATATAACGACCTACGCACTTAACGGGTTAAATACTCAATACGCCATTGTCATTTTTCTGTTATTGCAGATACAACGAGACCTCCGAGAGAAAATGAAGAAGATGGCAAAAATTATTTCTTCGTATCTCATGAACAGATGATGAAAGATATCGCTAATAATGAATACCTGGAATATGGTACTCACGAAGATGCAATGTACGGAACCAAGTTAAAAACAATAAAACAAATCCATGTACGAAATCTAATGGCCATATTAGACGTCGAGCCACAGGTAAGTCTTATCTTTTTAACCAAATCTGTAAGAAATTGGGGGGATCACGTAGCTAAGTGGGTAAGACGCTGGCTCGCTAGCCTGGAGGTCGGGTGTTCGATCCCTGCATTGGCCGAGAAAGTTCATCCAGATTTTCCGGCGTGGTTTCCCCTTGTCAGTGATGCAGGATGGTCCAGTGTACAAATTGGCGTGCACGTAAAAGATCCCTTGGCAGTTGCCTGGCCAAAATTTTCCTCATAGCACACTGTATGGTGTATGCCCGTCTTCATTAGCCCAGTTTAGGAGCAGAACAGTACGACTTTAAACCCCATTTCATTTGTAAGAAATTGGAGCCGCAGTGACTAAGTGAATAAGGCGCTGGCTCACTAACAGAGAGGACCAGAGTGCATTTCAGTTGAAAAAATCCCTCTGGAATTTCTACTTCATTACACCTTGCAGTAAGTGATGCAGGAAAGAGGATTTTGTAAGGATCTAGTCAATCGTATGGGATGAAAAACCGAGATTGAATTTGATGAAGAGTGGGTAGAATTGCTGCTGTCAACTGTTGACCTGATAACATTATTGCAAATTTTACATATATTTTTAGGTGTCTTGACTTAAACAATAAAATGATCAATTTTACTGTAATTATTGTTTTAAGGTTAAATTCTTTGAGATTGTAGTTTATGGCATGTAAAATGACTGGCAGGTAAATTCTCCAGTCAGTCAATTTCAATGTCAGTCAGTCCAGACTGCCAAATATGTTTGAAATAAGAACCCTGGTTCAAATATACTAAATACTAGTGAATGAATCTTGTAAAGCTCAAGTATTATCCAATAGTTGTGTTGATACAACTGTGTTGTGAAAAAATACCAGTGAATGAATCTTAGAGCAGGCTTATTAGAGCATGCAATATGTATGGAGTGAGCGCAATCATAAATATACATTATTATTATTATTATTATCCTGTAAATATGTTATTTATTATTAAATGTTATTTAGAGTGTTGTAAATATTTTTCAAATTATTTTGCATTTCACTTTTCAGGCCATAAAAGTTTTACGCTCCAGTGAATACACACCTTTTATAGTTTTTATTGCAGCCCCAACATTACCAGCCATTCATCAGGTACCCATCAACCAAATATGGTCGTTATTACCATATTAGGATGTAAATAACAGCATGGCTAGCAGATGATATATCCACCAAAATTCTAATTGGCTGATATGCATGATAGAATATTTGTTTTTGCATGCATTTTAATTTGGGTTCAAATTTTTATTCAATAATTTTTTTTTTGTTCTTTACAGGCCTGAGTGAATTCTTATTTTTTTTGAATTACAATAACATTATCAAAGAAAATATTGCTATTTACATATTTTGAATTCATGTCTTAGTAAAAATTCAATGGAATTAAACCATATTTTGCAAGAGATTCAAAATTTCTCAAATGATGTTCAGATTCTTCTTTGACGAATTCTAATCTGTGTACCTTATGCTAGATCCCACTATCACGAATCGCGCTACGATGGAAATCGTGGTTTTAATTGTGTAGTAATAGTAGTGATCTTATCAGGTCTTATCATATATTGAGGTCAGTCGTAGCAATCGTGTTGGTCGTATCGAAACGTATCTGCACGTTCCAGATCGTGGACTCGATAGGGGCAATCCTATCGTAACACATTGCACTAGAGTGGGAACGTAACATTAGGTGTAAATTGCAATATTTTCTTTTACCTGTGTGGCATGAATTAAATACATAAATTTGGATATTTTGTTTTGGAATGAAGTATGCATGTGCTAAATATTTTCAGGCACTAAAAATACTTCGGGCGGCTGATTACGCACCGTTTGTTGTTTTCATTGCGGCACCTCGAGTCAGTGATTTGAAAGATATGAAACATGTCAATGTAAGTGTAACCAAAAAAATGATTGGATGTGAGATATTAGATAAAAATGAACATAATGGATATATTTGATTGGATTTGGGATATTAGATAAAATTAACATAAATGGATATATTTGATTCAATTTGGGATATTAAATAAAATGAACATAATGGATATATTTGATTCAATTTGGGATATTAAATAAAATGAACATAATGGATATATTTGATTCAATTTGGGATATTAAATAAAATGAACATAATGGATATATTTGATTCAATTTGGGATATTAAATAAAATGAACATAATGGATATATTTGATTCAATTTAGGATATTAGATAGTAACTGAACATAGCTGATATATTTGATTCAATTTGGAATATTTGATAGTAAATGAACATAACTGTTATATTTGATTGGATATGAGATATTTGATAGTAACTGAACATAGCTGATATATTTGATTCAATTTGGAATATTTGATAGTAAATGAACATAACTGTTATATTTGATTGGATATGAGATATTTGATAGTAAATGAACATAATGGATATATTTGATTCAATTTAGGATATTAGATAGTAACTGAACATAGCTGATATATTTGATTCAATTTGGAATATTTGATAGTAAATGAACATAACTGTTATATTTGATTGGATATGAGATATTTGATAGTAAATGAACATAATGAATATATTTGATCCGATTTGGGGTATTAGATAAAATGAACATGATGAATATATTTGATCTGATTTGGGATATTTGATAGTAAATGAACATAAATGAATATATTTGATGCGATTTGGGATATTTGAAAGAAAATGAACATAATGAATATTTTTGATCCGATTTGGGATATTTGATAGTAAATGAACATAAATGGATATATTTGATTTGATTTGGGAGATTAGATAGAAATTGTTTTGTGATAATTTGTAGTAAAATCGTTGTGGTGTAGATGATCGCTTGGTTTATGTTAGTTACTGGTTTATTTTCATGTTGAGAATTTGTTTGGTTATTCTCAGATTACAATATACTCCCGGGATCCCGTAAGCAATGTTCTCTCTAAATTTAGGGGGGGGGGTTGGATAGCTGAATGGTTAGCAGGTGCGTGCTATATCATAAAGTCTGTCATTGAGTCAACTGGCATGGTTTCGAATCCCCGGTTGTACGTGACAAGGAGTAGGGTCGCTAGTCCAACCTCGTGGGTTTTCTCCATGTCCTCTGGTTTCCTCCCACTGCTGAAGACCCCTACACGCAAGCGAATTATTGAATAAAATTAAATCATATGTTAGTCCCGAAATGACCTAGTTTGTGTCGAGTGGACGTTAAACCCCATTTCTCTCTCTCTCTCTAAATTTAGTACAAATGTAAATTGAAATTATTGTAAGATAACTTGTACATCTCTCTTGTCTGATGGGGGGATTGGATGGTTTGAATGGCTAGCGCGTGCGCTCTGCATTGTAAGGACTGTCATTGAGTTAACTGGTGTGGCTTCGATTCCCAGGTTGTACGTGACAATGTGTAGGGTCGCCTATTCAACCTATTGGATTTTCTCCTGGTCCTCCGGTCCCACCCTTTCCCCACGCGCATGTGAATTATTGAAATAATATTGAACTATATGTTAGCCTCAAAATGACCTAGTTTGTGTCGAGTGGACGTTAAACCCCATTTCTTTCTCTATCTGGTTTGCCTGATAAAACTGTATTGGCAAATCAAAAGGGGTCATTCTGAAGTGCCTAAAACTTTTGCACACATAAATTTTCTTTGTGTGCTTCTTGCAAAGCATGTATGCACGTGCACATGCACACTTTTTAAAGTGATTTTGGGTGGATGGCACTTCATTTGAATTTAATTTTTAACATTCTTCATCAAATTGATTATTTTTTGGTTTGAAATTTAGTATTTGGTTTTGGTGGTAGTTTTGTTTTTCATTAGGTATTAAAATATAAATGTTGTATAATGTAGAATGTCATCTTGCTTGTTGGAAAGGTGGGGGGTGGGGATGGCTAAATGGTTAATGCACTGTATGTGATGGTCTGTCATTGAGTCAACTGGCGTGGTATTGATTCCCCCAGTTGTACGTGACGAGGAGTAGGGTTGCCTGACCAACCTCGTGGGTTTTCTCAGTGTCCTCCGGTTTCCTCCCACTGCTACAGACCCCTACGTGCCAACGAATTATGGAAATAAAATTGAAGGATATGTTAGTCCCGAAATAACCTAGTTTGTGTCGAGTGGACATTAAACCCCATTTCTCTCTCTCTCCCTTGAAAAAGGGGGTACTTTTGCCGAAAAGTAATTGATCCTTGTGTGTAAATGATTGAATTAGCCGACTAAAAAACGCTTTGTATAATAATAAGCCTGTAATTTATGTAAACAGTTTAAATTATGCATGAATAACAAAATATCTATAATACTTACATGTATTAATCGTTCATTTTAACTATGTAATATGTTGTAAGAGTTGCTGGGTCGGGTGTTCGATCCCTGCATAGGCCGAGAAAGTTCACCCAGATTTTCCGGCATGGTTCCCACTTGTCAGAGATGCAGGACGGAAGGCCTGACAAGGACAGCTGTCTAGTTATTCGGATGAGACGAAAAAACGGTTTTCCATGTACACATTGGCGTGCACGTACAAGATCCCTTGACAGTTGGAATTCGATATAAGAGTAGGCCATAGTGCCACTGTCCTGGCAAAATTTCCCTCATAGCACACTGTATGGCGTATGCCCATCTTCATTATCCCAATTTGGAGCAAAACAGTAGGACGTTAAACCCCATTTCATTTCATTTTGTAAGAGTTGCTGAGATAAAAGTCATTCTAAGTAGCACGAGCATGGCAGTGCTGATGGGTTAACAATTTTATCTTTTACTAAAATCCTATGATAACTTCACTTGAATTGAGACTAGAAAGTTCTTATAATTTGAATCTTGATGTGAGATATTGAAAATATGAGCTACTCGCAGGATTAAGAATATGAAATACTATATCATATGGCAAGAGAAAGAATTCTGTCTCGAATCAATGCTGGGGGAATCGAAGTTTTCCCTGAACTCCGGAAAAACATATTCTGTATTAATTGATATGCAAAATTCTGGGGGATTTTGGCACTAATATTCATAGCTTATGCCTGTTGGGACAGGCAAGCACACCGTTCACTGACATTGTTTCAACTATAAGATTATTTAAATAATCATTTTCACATGTAGATAAATGCTTTTGGGACAAACATTATGCTAGTCTCATATTTTATCATTATTATTTTTCAGGATGGCAGTTTGGAACGATTAGCCAGGGAAAGTGAACTTTTGGAGAAGGCATACGGACATTACTTTGATTATAAAATTGTGAATAACGATATCGACGAAACCATAAGAACTTTAGAAAAAGCCATTGATGAAGTCTGTACGACTCCACAGTGGGTACCCGTTAGTTGGGTCTATTAATAAACCGTAACCATGGAAATCATACATCTCATCAACGATGCCTTATATGGAAACATTGCTGATTTATTATTTCTGTATCCATAGTGATTTGAATATGACTGAACATCGTGTATATCCTTTATTCTGGGAATATTGATGAAGTTTATATCAATTAATGTTCCTAGATCTCGACAGCTCTTGACATTTCAACAAATTGGTTTAGGCAGGATTATATACAAAGGTATATTTGTTTAATGTTTTATGCTTTTGAGATGAATCGACTAAAATCATAATGGGTAAAAATAATAAAAATTAAAAAAATTAAAGCCAATATTTGGTTTTTCCTGCAACCCCTATTAGTCTTAATATTCCCCTTATTACTGTGAAAGATTTTGCAAATATTTTTGTCAATTGAATAGTTCAGTCTGATTAAAATACAGATCTATATTTTGTTTCGTTTTTTTATACTTTCGATGGCCTACACTACATGAAGATCTGACCAGTTGTACTGCAAGGTCGCGTCAGGGGTCTTATGAGCGGCTTTTGACCCTATGACGTCAAACATTGATTAATCAATCAGCATTGACGTTTCTTGTGGTTTATCCACAGTTCTGTGTATGGCACGACAAGAAGACGCCGTAACAGATGGTTTTATTGGGTAATCCCTCAGGCCATCCAGAACACCTGTTATATAACAACTGTTCCAGATCCTAGTGTAGTAAAGACAAGGAAAAAACGAAATTTTGAACTATAAAAAAAGAAATGAAATAGGATCTGTGTTTTAATCAGATTGGATAATAGTTATAAACTATTGGAGACACAAGAGTTGTATTGTATTATTATCATATTTTATAATATTGTTAAAACATTGTATTTACATTTTATTCTTTTTAATCTTTTATTTCTGAGCTTGGTGGCTTAATACAAATAACGTAATGTATAAATATACAGTGCAGGCATGGTCTTAACGGTTTTACCGGCACTTGTGTACAGCTACTTGGGGAACGATAATCCAATTAAAGTGTATATATAAGTCGAGTAAGCATTGAGCCAAAAACTATTGAACAGATTCGGTAAAACAATAACATAATTAAACTTGGTAAACTAGTTGGGTAAGCAATAATCCAAGTAAACTGGGTAAACCGACGGGAGGAAACATTAACCTACCAAATTAAACTTGGTAAACCAGTTCTGTGAGAAATAACCCAAGTCCACTAGGTAATCAATAACCCAAGTCCACTGGGTAATGGGTAATCAATAACCCGAGTCCACTGGGTAATCAATAACCCGAGTCCACTGGGTAATCAATAACCCAAGTCCACTGGGTAATCAATAACCCGAGTCCACTGGGTAATCAATAACCCAATTCCACTGGGTAATCAATAACTCAATTACACCAAGTAGACCAATCGGTAAGCAATAAGCCATGTACACTGTTGGATAATGAAAAAGACAAATACACTGTGTAAACCAGTTTGATAAGCAACAACCCAGGTACAATGGGTAAACTGTCTTGGACAATAACCCAGGCATAAACTAACTGGGTAAATATTAACCCAATTAATTACCAAGTAGACCATTTAGATAAATAAACTCAGTAGATTGATCGAGTAAAATGTTTCAACAATAACCCCAATAATGGAGTATCTGGGATAAACTTACCAATTAACACGAAGACAGGGTCTATTTTAACGTACATACAGGCACGAACCTGCCTCTGGATAAAAAATCTGTGCTTTGAAAATCTGAAATCTGTGCTTTGAAAATATGTTATGTAGACTTGTGAATCTGACAAGATTGTATGGGGAAGCTTAGCTGTCATTATGATCATCGACCACTTTCGATTTGTTTCAAAAGTTTTGTAATGTTGATGTATTCCTACTACCACCACCTAAAGCACGAAAATTACATAGCAGGTGCAGGAGACAGTAAAGGTTCGTTTTTTTCTTTTGGATCGACGTTGGACGGTTATAAATATAAATATATGTTAATTCTCTTATATTTTGGTTATAAAAGTGTAAGCATGATATCGTGTTTTTGGAAGTCAAATTCTGGAAATTTTCACGGAACTCCAAAACGCCAGAAACCATGCTTCGATTTCTTTCAAAAGTTTTGTATTGTTGATATATTCCTACCAACACCTAAATCACGAAAATTACATAGCAGAACATCGTCAGGTGCAGGAGACAGTAAAGGTTCGTTTTCGCCAATAAAACCTTAAAATAGGCCCAGCACAAAGATAAATTAAAATGGGATACATATATATTATCTGATGAGGGTTATTGGTTACACAAATAAACTTGCAAATAATTCTAATAATAATCTGAGTAAACCCAGGCAAACATTTAAAGATACATTATGGGAGATTAGATAAAGAGGGGGGGGGGGCTGAATGGTTAGCACGTGCGTGTTGCACCATAAAGTCTGTCATTGAGTTAACTGGCGTGGTTTCGAATCCCTGGTTGTACGTGGCAAGGAGTAGGGTCGCCTGTCCAACCTCGTGGGTTTTCTCCGGGTCCTCCGGTTTCCTCCCACTGCTAAAGACCCCTACGCGCAAGCGTATTATTGAAATAAAATTAAACCATGTGTTAGTCCCGAAATGACCTAGTTTGTGTCGAGTGGACGTTAAACCCCATTTCTCTCTCTCTAGATAGATAGAGAGCTGGCAGTTCTCACTATAATAGTTAAAAACTACATAATGTAAAGGGAACTTGCTGAAAATTTCAGTCAAATTGATCCACTGTGAACCGAGAATTTAGCGATTGAATTTTCGGCCTAGCTTCGATCATCATTAGTAAAGTTGGTACGATAAAAAAACATAGTCTTGATTATCCATTTCATGATTAAATCATGAATGGAAGTTGAGCAGCAAATCGGATCCTAATCCAACAAATATCGCAGGCTAACAATGACATCGAGAGTTGATTATGGTCTGGATCAGTTAATTAATGTCTCATAATTTAGATAACATTTTAGGCCTAAAGAAAAACCTGAAATAGGCAGATTTAGCTCTTGAATAATGTATGTTTAAATGTTTATCAGACCCGGTTTTACAGTTTTAGATCTACATTGCCAGGGAAATACTTACCTGTTATAAATTTACATAAAATTACTTTACAACCATCTACCAACAATGTGCAAACAAATTAAACTGAGAAAAAAATGGTCATATTTCCGCTTTAAATTCAACTCTTGCTATCATACTTGACATATTGTCAATGGAGATCATTATTTTGTGTTATCTATAGCATTTACATGGATTCTCGAATAATACGATTTGGTTGTTTTGTTTTAATATTGTGTACAAATATATAATATTATTATAAATTGTTTTATTGCCTGTAAATGGTGGCAGTATTAAGTTGATTGTAAAGAATAGTTTAGTTTTTATATATATATATATATACCGGTATTTAGTCACATATTCAACACAACACTGGAAAGGGTGGCAAACTTATCTCCCCTTACGATAGCCATTTATTTAAATTATATAGATTTTGGGTTTCTTGTAATCCAGTTTTCTATTATTTACTTACTAGTGATTAATGGGGGTATTATACAGCTAAATATGTTTTTCTTCCCTGAGTTTCCATATCCATTATAAACAATATAGTGGTCATATAGGGGGAGGTAACTCTTATTACTTAAAGTTGTTGAACAGATGATTTTAATTGAAATGTGTTAAACCTCTGTTTCAAACTTGCATTAAAGAAATAGGGATATTTGCTAAACTTATTATAGTCACAAAATTAGTAAAGTTTAGGGGCATGGGGCTCACTCATTACCTAAGGCATCTGCCGCGATAATTTTAGTGTTCACAGGAACAAGATCTAGATTTTCATGTAGTCTTGGTAGATTAATAAACATAACAATATTTTTCTATGAAAAGCCTAAGCTAAAGTAATGCACTATCATAAATCTAGCTATAGCTTTTTGGAAATATTGCTTAGCTAGACATTATTAATAGATCGGAATTAAGAGATTGGGATGTTAAAGGACAATAACACAGAGATCATTGCTACGATAGCTGCGTTATTTGGCATTCAAGAAATGAAAGTGACGAAAGCCAAAAGGAAAACACAAGTTATCCTTAAAATTATATTTGGAACGTGTTTAACCAGTTCTATCACTTATGTGATAATGACTGACACCAATATTGTCCTTTAATGTGACTGCAATTACCAGATTGGGATGTTAATGTGACTACAATTACCAGACTTATTTCTAACACATAATTGAAAGCAAGTATATAACATAACAGAAGAGCTTGAAATACAATAATATTTTTTATCATTAATGTTATCCAATTTTTATTTCTTATGTATTCATTTTTATTTTGAATTCATTTCATTGTACATCATCTTCTTAAACCAAATATAGACAGGAACTTACATTGGAAATATGTTACAAATTATAGACTATAATGAAACAATTTAGGAATATTGCATTTTTTTTGGCTAGGAGGTTAAACTCTTAAGCCTTGGGCCAATGAAAAGGTATATCTAAAAAATACATGTAATAAAGCTTATTAGATTTAATAAAATGTGATGCAGCATTTATTACTGGCTAAATACACTCAATCTGATTAAAACACAGATCCTACTTCGTTTCGTTTTTATAGTTCAAAATTTCATTTTACTTGTATTTACTACACTAGGATCTGGAAGAGTTGTTATCATTGATGTGTTCTGGATGATGTGAGGGTTTAACCAATGAAACAAGCTTTTGGTGTGTGGTGCATGGAAGTGTGGGTAATCCACTAGTTGATCAAATGTTTGATGTCATAGGGTCAAAAGCCGCTCGGATGACCTCTGACGCGACCTATCACTACAACTGGTCAGATCTTCATGTAGTGTAGGCCATGAAAGTATAAAAAAACGAAACGAAATATAGATATGTATTTTAATTAGATTGAATGATACTTTTATGGTAATTAATGTTTAATATCACTTTAGTTTTCTAAAAATATAAAAACATCCTTCCAGCTTTCATTAAAACGTGGTAGCTACATAAATGTTGTTTAAACATATGATAATAATATTGATTTCAACTGTATTGAATTCATGGGATATCGAACAATTGCTTATGTTAATCGACTTCCCAGTCAATAATATTGGTAATAATATCTATGTATTAATTAATAAGTATATTTATATTATAGCCAGATATTAAATCATTTGACGTTATTATTGTCAAGCCTTTATAGCTTATAGGTCAATATTTCCAAGCAACATATAATATTAGAAATTTCATGAGGCAAAGAAAGGTATCATTTTTATTTCGGCTTGCAGTCCTTTGTTTTTATTGAGCTGGATACGCAATGTCAGTTGCTTCAGTATACCAAGGGTCCGATTCTTGTACAAATTGAGCGTTTCCTGTCTGAAGAATTAAAATTAAGAATTGTTCTTTTAAATTGGGAATAGGTGTACTTTTTTGAGAATTTGCGTATTGCATTATTAGACGTTTGAGCAAACAATTACATATGCATGTCCTTTATATGTAAAATTTAGGTTGTGTATTTGCGTATTTGTGTTGACCCGGTTGAACTAGGGAAAATTATGCGAATCTTGTAGTAACGAACGGTGTATGTGTTTGTATGTCGTGTGAAATTAAATGGACATTAATTGAGCACACCACTCATTAGATTTACAGTCGTCCTTTCTTCATTTAGGTCGTATGCTTGTAGTTTGTGTCGGACCCATTGAACTACGCAAGAATTATACGAATCGGGTGCCACCTGCATAGACTATTATCATCAATGGACTGATTTAAGTGTGTATGTAGCCCCTGTTAATTATCTTGGCATCTTAAATTACGTTAATCCAAATCCCCATTTTAAATCTGCTATGGGGATGCGCTTTTTTTCGGTCACAGATTAAATAGCAACAGTATATAAACCACCGACGTCTTCTAAATACAGTTCGCCCAGCTAGACCACACTTATGGACAACTAAATATTTCTTGATTAACCGACTGGCTAGACCACACTAATGGACAACTAAATATTTCTTGATTAACCGACGTCTTGATTAACTGTCGTAAGAGCATTTTGCATCTGTATTCTTCCCAAATTATACTGTTAACTGTCGTGTTACATCAAACCATACGTTCAATTAAATGCCAGATTTCAGCTAAAATTTAAAATAAATCTTGAAGCAGTAAACTGCCATTTGTTTAGGAATCGGACTCAAGCTGTTAATGACGAATATATTTTTTCGTGGATTTTCCAGCTAAATAAACAGAACTGCTATAGCTGTTGAAATGAATTTGTTGTGAATCAGGATACAATGTTCTGGTAAATATACATATTATATCCATATGTTAATATATAATAATTGATTAAAGTCATTGTGATGTTTTTTCTCATCTGGACCAAAATCTAGTACAATAAATAATGAAATAAATAATTGTTGATTACATTATATTGGAGTTGTTGTTCTTATTAAAAGTTACTTTACACATAAATAATGATAACCTGATGGGGGCCACAGTGGCTAAGACGCTGGCTTGCTAGCCTGGATGTCGCATGTTCGATCCCTGCATTGGCTGAGAAAGTTCATCCAGATTTTCCGACGTGGTTTCCACTTGTCAGTGATTCAGGATGGAGGGCCTGAGAAGGACAGCTGTCTAGTTGATCGAGTGGGACGAAAAACCAAGGCCTCGTGTATACATTGGCGTGCACGTAGAAGATCCCTTGGCAGTTGGAATTCGATGTAAGAGTATGCCATAGTGCTGCTGCCCGAAAAAAATTTCCCTCATTGCACACTATATGTCATATGCCCGTCTTCATTATAGTCAGTTCGCCAAACCCAACTTTTCGAGTGAACCTGGAAATTATTTACAAAGTTTTTTTTATGATTGATTTTAGTAGCCTAGGGTGTCCTCTTTCAGAATGTGCCGGGTGAACCTCGGTCACCATTGAGCGTTTTGAGAAATTCAAGATGGCGTCCAAGACTTCTGCCACATCAAATAATCCCCTATAGGTCCCATAGTAGGGGATATTTAAATGCAAATACCTATGCAGTTTGCGATATGATCAATAGCCATGGACATGCTTTGAGAGTATGTTCAGAGATGAAGAACTTATCGCCCCAACAGAACCACTGAGCTGCATGTGGGACACGCAATAGCGTCACACGTGGGACGGGTTCATTGTCAAATTTGACACTTCAAGGAAGGATTGATGAAAACTGTCGCCTGCTGGTTTATCTATCCATGTTTGCAATCCTATCAGTTCTTGCATAAGATTTACTGTTTAGCGTATCTTTGCTTTAGTGTGTTACGTTTAATTTGATCGGGGTTGTGTTCGTCGACGTCAACATCAACCGACAACACAGCAAGAATTGGCCGAGGCACTGCAAGAGGAGTGGGCCAGATTGCCCCAAATCGTGATTAGACCGTTGATCAGGAGCATGCCATGCCAAATTGTTGAATGTCTGAGGATTGGTGGAGCAATTACTCATTATTAAGACAAAAATCAAAAACATCCATTTTCACTTTTGACGGTGTATACATCTCTTTGCGAGTGAAATGGGGCCGTCAGATAAGCCGCCCATATGAACTGTTTATGTTCATGTGTAGGCAATTGGCCTGTTATTAACATACACTGGTTACCTCTAATAAAAACAGCAGTGCATTTCCGCAGTTTTGTATTGTTTCTGAATATCCCCAACTTTCTTTGAAGAGTATATTTATTCTAGGATGATAATTTTGGTGTCTAACCCTATGTTTTGGGGGTCAAGGTATACACTGAAATCATTTATTATGTTGTGGGGTGATTAGATGATAGTATAATCAAACATGCTAGACAATATGACCCTTTAACTAGTTAGCGGCGGTTGGGGGCGATTATTCCACCGAACGAAACTATATCTAGAGACAAACTATATATTTCTGGACATAGGAGCGTATGAGTGATAGGATAACACCACATACATCCCTATTAGGGGCTTCAGGGCCACATGTGTGGATAATCGATGTAACGATCTCCACTATGAATGATTGTTGATCACATGGCTAAGTTGGTAAGACGCTGTCTGATCGCTAGCCTGGAGGTCGGGTGTTCGATCCCTGCATGCCGAGAAACTTCATCCAGATTTTCCGGCGTGGTTTCCCCTTGTCAGTGATGCAGGACTGAGGGCCTGACAAGGACAGCTGTCTAGTCCTTCGGATGAGACGAAAAACCGAGGTCCCGTGTATATATTGGAATGCACGTAAAAGATCCCCAGGCATTTGGAATTTGATATAAGAGTAGGCGATCGTGCCGCTGCCCGGGCAAAATTTCCCTCATAGCATACTGTATGGCGTATGCCCGTCTTCATTAGCCCAGTATAGGAGCAGAACAGTAGGACGTTAAACCCCATTTCATTTCATTTCATTTCATTTCATTTCATTTCTTTTATTTGAACTTAAAATAAAACTCTTGTTATATACTATTCAAAAAAAGTAGGGGATATTTGATTTTGGGGGCATAATACTAAAATATGCAAATGACTACGAAAAAAGTCACTATAGAACCTAACAGAAGAAACATTTCCAGTTACATGTGACGCCCAAACGCACCAATAGCTACCGCATGGAATGCAGGTGATGCTTGGGATCATCATGGGGGTCCAACCCAAGATTTGCACGACTCTGACTTTGAATGTTACAGTCATTGTGGCATTGAATTCCAGGGTGGAAACATCAGTTTAATTGTTTTAGTGACCAGAAAACAAATTTTGATATGCGTCGGCTTACCCAAAATGAAAGGTTACGTGCCCTTGGCATGCTACAGATCGGCACAACACAGGCGGTTGTGGCGCGGACGATGAATGTTTCTCAGTCTGTCATAAGCAGGCTATGGTCCAGATACCGTGATACACAATCTGTACAGGACAGACCACGCTCAGGTCGACCAAGGGCGACAACTCAAGCCCAGGATCGATTTATCCGTACCTTGGCCTTGAGAAATCGTGTCATCACAGCAAATCAGATCAGCGCTCGTCTTCAAACAGACACTGGTGTGGGAGTGAGTGGCCAGACGATTCGGAATCGACTGCATAGGGGTCACCTTCGCGCCCGACGTCCTCGCGTGATCCCTTGTTTGAGAGATCATCACATTCAGGCAAGACGTCGTTGGTGTAGGGATCGTCAACACTGGGATAATCGACGCTGGAGCAATGTGATGTTTTCAGATGAGTCAAGGTTCACTGTTGATTTTTTTGACAGACGTAGGAGGGTGTGGCGTCGTCGAAACGAGCGCTTCCAAGACGTTAACGTCATCAGACATGATCGATTTGGGGGTGGTTCTGTTATGGTGTGGGGAGGCATCACTGTTGCTGGAAGAACGGCTTTACATGTTGTTGCAGGGCGTGTTACAGGCCAGAACTACCGGGACAACATCTTGGCAGTCCATGTTGTGCCGTTCGCACGACGTCATGGCCGCCGTTTCATCTTCCAGGGCCAGGATCGTTACAGGTTACCTCCAACAACAGAACATCACCACATTACCTTGGCCAGCACTGAGTCCCGACCCCTCCCCCATCGAGCATGTCTGGGACATGCTTGGACAGAGGTTACGTCAACGTCAACAACGTCCTGCCAATGTCCAAGAACTTGCTGCTGCGTTGCAACAGGAATGGGACAATCTGGACCAAAATGACCTTAGACGTCTCATTAGGAGTATGCCACGTCGGATCAATGCTTGTTTGGCAAACAGAGGAGGATTTACCCGTTACTGACTTGATTGTGATGCTGTGGTAACTTTGCTGTTTGACCCCGGGTATCATTTTACCCTTATAATGGTCAGTCTGTGCCTTACTTAGTCTAACGATCATTTGGAATAAATCGATGAATGTGAACTTCATTTCATTTTGTCATTTGTTTCTTCGTCAGTTTCATTAGGTGACTTTAATAACACTTAAAAATCAAATATCCCCTACTTTTTTTGAATAGTATATCTTGAATGGGACGAAAAACCGAGGTCCCGTGTACACATTGGCGTGCACGTAAAAGATCCCTTGGCAGTTGGAATTCGATATAAGAGTAGGCCGTAGTGCCGCTGTCCGGGCAAAATTTCCCTCATAGCACACTGTATGGCGTATGCCCGTCTTCATTAGCCCAGGTTAGGAGCAGAACAGTAGGACGTTAAACTCCATTTCATTTCATTTCATTTCGTATGATTTATTTATATGATTTATCCGTCTTAGTTTAAACATAATTTATTCAACAATCTTAAAGGGACGGGGGGGGGGGGGGGGGGGTAAACGTCCAATCGACACAAACAAGGTCATTTACAGACAATATATATATATATATATATACAATCATGTAATTCCACAAATTAATAAGAAGGGAGAGAGAGAGAGAGAGAGAGGGAGAGAGAGAGAGAGAGAGAGAGAGAGGGAGAGAGATGACTTTAACGTCAAGATGATTTTGAGACCAACACACATTTTCAATTTTATTTCAATAATTCGCTTGCGCGTAGGGGTCTTTAGCAGTGGGAGGACCCGGAGAAAACCCACGAGGTTGGACAGGCGACCCTACTTCCTTTTTTGTTTTCTATTTGGTCGAAGGTGCACGATCTTTGCCTACCAGCTTCTCGATCGATGCTAACTAGACATACTTCAGGTGCTTACTATGGGTCCTCTCGGAGTACAGACTGCAATAATCTATCTCTGTCGTGCTTTCTGTGGGTACAAACTGAAAGATCATGCCAATTTGGTAGTCATGACAACATTGGTTCCAGCGTAGCGCATGCACAAAGGTCACTAAAAACGTTGCTATGAAGGATTTTTTCCCCAAGTTTTCGGTAAAACATCGAGTCAAAGCCTAAAACTCGGATAACTATTAGAACTCGGAAAATCTTTTGGCCATAAATTGAAATGTAAATAATCACATGAGCATCAAATAACAGATGACGTGATGGGGTTCATTTATATTACATGTAAGTTCTGACTAGATATTCTTATTCGCAGGGGTCATGTATCTATCTATCATAATTTGACGGGGCAACTCCATTTTAAAGGAGTTGTGACATTCCAAAGGTACAAATGGCGGCCATTTTGAATTTATGTAAATTGGGCTCTTTCCCCGCCCTGAAAATCGGAGAACTTTGGATATGTTGTAGAGGATGATCTCACGATCAACAACCAAACAATAGATTTTTTATTAAATAAAGGGACGATCTTCCCACTGAACTCACTCCATGGTCTAAGGCCGCAAATGGAAAGATTGCAAAAATCATATTCTAGAAACAGGAAGTGGCTTCGGCTCTCTTATGTCTTGTCTGCGAGAGAGAGAGAGAGAGAGAGAGAGAGAGAGAGATGGGGTTTAACGTCCACTCGACACAAACTAGGTCATTTCGGGACTAACATATGGTCCAACTTTATTTCCATAATTCGCTTGCGCGTAGGGGTCTTTAGCAGTGCGAGGAAACCGG